TTACTCTTGTTTTTAAAACTTTCAATAAAATTATATTAAAGGGGGGGCATTGCCACACTGTATTATTCTGAACAATTTTCATCCAGGGTCCAGGTTATAGAGAAAGTGACTGCCCCCCCCACCATCACGCATGCCCTTGTGACCTCTGTATTGGACTACTGCAATGCACTTTATGTGGGGCTACCCTTGAAGAGTATTCAGAAGCTTCAAATGGTGCAAAATGCAGCAGTGTGGGTAGTTACTGGTGCCAGTTACTTGGCACATGTGACACCACTGCTCCGCAAGCTGCATTGGCTTCCAGTGTTCTTCTGGGTGCAATTCAAGGAGCTGGTTGTCACCTTTAAAGCCCTTCATGGCTTAGGACTGGGTTACTTATGGGACTATCTCTCCTCCATTGTTTCTACCTGTCCTATCTGACTGGCAGGAAGGGCACACTCTGGATACCGTCAGCTAGGGAGTGTTGACCGGCGAGGCCCAGAGGAGAGCCTTTTCTGCTGTGGCACCTGCCTTTTGGACCATTGTTCCCCCTGAGATTAGATTGGCCCCATCCTTGTTGGCCTTTTATAAGGCCTTAAAAACTTGGCTTTGTGCTCAAGCCTGAGGCCCTGGGCATGGGTTAGAGCCCATCTCCTGGTTATATGGATGATAGGTTAAATCATGCCTAGCTGCTATGCGTTTTTTGGTTATATATTATGTATTCTGTGTTTGTGTATAAGCCATCTAGAGTTAGGTAAAAGTGAGATGGGCAATTATATAAATCGAGTAAATAAAAAAAAAAATGACCCAACTTTCAAACAAAACTATTCAGCAGGGTAAGAGGGGACCAGGATCCATTTTGTGAAGAACGGTGAACAGAATGACTCTGTTAGATACAACCCCATTAATGGGAAAACTTCCAGAGGTGAGCTTTGGGAATTCCCTCTGTGACAAATATTACTTTGAAGTCTTTCTAATAGAGCAGTATGTTTCCTGTAGATACTGAATATCTTGTAAGATGGGCATTTATACAAATATGATCACTCAATCAATAAATAATAAATAAATATAATTCACAATATGTAGTACTGGCAGAGTTTTTCACAACTTTTTTTTTTTGAGAAAAAGACTTCAATAGTAAATTCTATTATAATACATGTTACAAAACTAGTAGAACACACATTACACCTCTGTTTCATGAGCTGCACCGGTTATCATTTTTTTTCCAGGCCCAATTCAAGGTGCTGGTGTTAACCTTTAAAGCCCTTCATGGCATGGGGCCGGGCTAT